ATTATAATGTAAACCATCTCTAAAATGTTGACAAGCATCACACAAGTCAGTTCTTGGACTCATAATTTGAATTTCTGATGTTAATTGATGCCATAACTTTCTGAATGCATCATATTTTAAGGACTTCAAATTACTATCTTCTTCTAAACCAGTTAGAAAGTCTCTGTAGACTGATTTATAACTCATTTCAGCTGGTACAAAGATAATTGACTGAGTTATTCTATTGACATTCCTTCCTGGGTTTGGTAATCCATGAACTTCTGCATAATTTTCTAGAAAACTCTTTACTACATCTGCAACATTTTTATTGATTACCATTTTAGTTTTTCATTGAGGCATTCTTTTAATATTACTGTTGTATGTGAAATTGAAATATTATGGAGTGGGGTGAAATTCTGATTGGCTAATTTGAATTTCACATGTGTAAATTTGAATTTCACATATGTGAATTGCGAATTCACATAATTTCATTTCATTTTCATGTACAACATTACCATGAATTCTTGGAAAAAGACCACTGTTTATCAGATGATTTCTAAGATTTTCAAAGTAAGTTCTACCAATTCCTAACATATTGAGATATGTTTTTTGGCAGAGTGTGTATTGTGATACCAATGGTAAAAAGTTCATTTGTTAAATCTATTTTTCTTTTTAAGGTGTCTACTGTCCCTCCACCCATTGCTTTAAGTTGGGACATTAAAAATATGTCCTGTTCTGTTTTAGAGAGAGCTTGAAAAGATTCTCTTAATTCTGCAAATTCTTCCTTGGGAATTTTGGAAAAGCAACCACAACTACAGCCTTTTTCTAAAAAGTCAATAGCTTTTTGATATTCATTAGGACTGTTATATTTACTGTTACTTTTCATATATACCTATCCCTATATATATAATTTTATAATTTTATGTTCACTTTGTAGGTTTTTGCAGGAAATTGAAAATTGATTACACAAACATAAGAGCAAATTTTTAAAGTTTACATTAATTTTTACAGACCAAAATAAAGAAACTTGTAATTCAGGAAAAATTATTATATATTATTATATTTTATTTACATTTAATTGTAATAAATCAATTGTATAATATTCAAGTGAAAAATAGTAAAAAAAGCAAAAAAATAAAGAGTTAATTTTCAAATTGTGGGTTTTTTTTGGCAATTTCAATAATTTTTTTAAAGAGGAACTTTCTGAAAACAACTTGAAAAGCTTCTTAGCAAAATAGTAGGGAAAGTAACCAATAATGATTTACAGCAAAATATAAATCAAATAATTAAAACAAAAGATAATTGAAAAAAATTTGAGAAAAAATAAAAGTAATTTTAGCAAAAATTGGATAAAAACAAGAGAAAAAGAATTAGAGAAAAAATTCTAAAATTAGAAGCCAAAACATTCATCACATCATGACCTAGAATTTGTAATTGTAACAAAAAAAATGTTAGAAATTTTATAATTGAAGAATACTGTAAGTAAAGAAATATAACTATACATGTGGTCAAATTAAAAGTCCTGTGACGCAATTGGTTCTCTGTGAGACGCATTGATGCAGACACATTGATGCAGACACAAGACGCAGACGCAATTTGTGACGCAAGACACAATTCGTGAATGATGGAATATGCACTGTCTTACAATAGCATTGTAATAATTTAATTTTCGCTGTTATCAAATTATAACAGTTTTTACAAATTTTACGTTCAATTTCGCAAATACAATCCTAGAAGTCAAATTACTTCTAACAATCAATAATTACATTCGTATATTTATATAAAATTACAATAAATAATTAATTAATAAAATACATATTATACGAATGTATCTTATGTTTCCCGGGATGCTTAAAGTAACTTTTGGAAACATATTAATATTAATAAGTCACAAATTGTCAAGTGAATCTTTCATTAATATGCCCAAATCAATCAGATCAACATTTACAAGATAGGAGTTTGATTTGAATGGTGATTTAAAGAGGCCAAACATAATCTCAAATTTTCCAGCACCATTTGTTTTTGCTGTTATCATAAAATCAGGTCGGTAACCATCACTATCATCATTTAGTTTTCTAGCAGCACTTGAAAAGGACATTTGTTTTCCCTGTAGTGAAACAAACCAGGTTTGCAAATGTGTGGTCCATTGGGTCCATTAGTATAACACTTTAACCATATTTAGTATTTATTAATGGTAATGGACCAGTCAATTTGCCAACCCTGAAACAAACAGGTATTGGAGTAATGAATTTTATTTAAATGTCTGAAGAAACAAAAATCAACCATTGCTATTCAATATAAATTACCATTCAATAGTTCTTCCTGGAGTGTCTGAAAAAAAAGGTTTCAAAATAGGATGTATCAAATTATGTGTATGTGTATCTTCAATTCTCCTATTGCCTTCAAAGATATGCCAATTCTCTGCTCTATTAAATTTAATGAATATATTAAGTTTAGAATTGTTTTGATAATTCTGTTAACATACTAAATACAAATCAAGGAATATCTACAAGTGACTCCAAACTCTATTGCAAGTTCTTAATAAATTCTTGTTTTGATGGTCTATAGTTACTTTCAGTTATCATATAAATTTTCTGATAAATCCTCAAATTGCTCTTTAGTACTTGTATGGGCAATATTTGCACAATTGCAACAATATCTTTTGGTAAATTTATTTTTGGATATAGTGCCTTTATCTGGTTGAAAGCTTTTTGATGTATTGATGATGGTATGCCTAATTTTACATGTGTTGAATATTCCTCCATAAGAAATATTGTATTTAAAGACCTGTAATTAACAAAATATTTTTCCAAGAAATTAGCAATTAATTCTCTTATCTAATACATCACATGTACATCAAAAGAATAGAAAAGGTTAACTAACAGAATTTCGCCAGGATGATTTGTATAGGGTTTGTATTCATGGATACCGTAAGGATGTCACACATGGTTACACACTATTAAAATCAAGTGTTTTTAAGTGATTTTTTGCTGATTTATTAGTGTGTAACCCCCTTAACAATATTCATGGTATCCGTGAATACAAACCCTAGATTTGTATAAGTTAATTTTCCCACTTTTGCCATAATTGCTGAAGATTCTTTATAGAGCTTGAAGGACTCAGTCAGGCTAACATCTTCAATGATCCATTCCTGCATAACATACATAGTCAGTATTACAACAGCTTAATATTTTATTTAAAAAAGCTTACAACTACATACATTAATAATTATAGGCTTTAAATCTTCAATAAGATTCCATTCTAAGGTGCTTGTTTTTTTAGGTGCTGGTGTTGTTTCCTAAGAACATTAGATAATGTGTTAAAGCAGAAGAATGATCAATAAGTAATCAAACATAATCATAAATATTTTTTTGCTAATATACCAGGAAAAAGGAGAGTAAATATATTTATTAGTTATTAAACACAAAAAGTTATATCACCTCTGATAATAGATCATCAGTGTTATTATAATCAGTATTTTCATTTTCTACTTCTTGATTACTTGAATAATCTGCTACTATTCCTGATTTTGTCTAAATTAAGGAATTTATTGAAACTAAGCAAAACAAATAGCAAATGCCATTCCTTCTTTTCCTTCTTTAAAGGTGATTTACCCTTTATAAGATATTTTTGTGGACAAAAATTTAAACTATATACTAACTCTTTTTCCATCTTGACTAACTTCTGTTTTTCTTTTTTTTGCCCATTTCCAGCATGATTGTGTTCTCTTGGATGGGTTCGAGGAGACTTCCTTCACTCACATTAAATGCTTTGTATTGGAAATCTATGTACTCCTCATCAATTCTGTTAATTCTTTTTGACATGTTTGATGGTTTTTTTTAAAATGAAAAATAAATTTTTGTATTATTATCTACAAAAATGTTACACAGTTACAAAAAAAAACTTGATGTAAAAAAAATTTAATAACTTTACCAAAAACGGTCAGATCCGCATCAAATAAAATTCAAAACAAAGCCTTTCTTTATTAGTCTGTTTTTATCTTGAATAAAAATTTTTTTGTGTAATTTGCTATTAAAATGACACAATCTACAAAAGAACAGCAACATACAACCTTATTATATTATTGGAATCAGGGGATATGTTCTGCTTGTCAATTACATAATATTACAAACATCCCACTCT